GGGCAAAAGTTTCTTGATAATCTATTCCATATGTTTGGGTAAATCCCTTGGCCACTAGTCTTGCTTTGTACCGTTCAATCGTCCCATCTGCATTGTGCTTAATGGTGAACACCCACTTACATCCGACTGGGTGTTTCCCATTTGGAAGAGACACCAACTCCCATGTGTTATTTTTACTCAAAGCTTGCATCTCTTCTACCATAGCTACCTTCCATTTAGGATCATTGATGGCTTCTTTCCAACCCTGCGGAATACACACAGAAGAAAGGGACGAAACAAAAGCACGATACGGAGAAGACAACGAATCATATGACACGAATTTAGAAATAGGGTGTTGAGTACAGGCTCTAACCCCCTTTCTGAGAGCAATAGGAAGACTCAAATCATCAGTAACAAGACTATCAACAACAGGTGAAGAAATGGGTTGAGGATCATTACCTGTAGAGTTAGTGGAAACTGGGTGTGGGATTGGCATAAGAGATGATGATTGACGTGGTGGCACAAGAGAATCTTGCTCTTTCTGACGCCGTGAATAAGTCTTAAGATCAACTCTGTCCAAACGACCACCAACATCAGTCTCATCAACAGAACTCGTAGGCTCCCCCTCACCACAAATAACAGCCCACTGATTAGGAAGGAAAAAAGACAACTCATGTTGATAGGATGTCGTCTCCGTCTCATCCGCAATCTCATCTATACTACTCTCCCCCTGAGGAGATAGCGGGTGACAAGGAAAAAAGGATTCAGATTCACGGAAGGTGACATCCATACTAACATACAGCTTATGAGTGTGAGGGTCATAGCATTTGTAGCCCTTCTAAGTAGCAGAATAACCAAGAAAGACACACCGGACAGCCTTAGGATCAAACTTTCCACGAGTATGAGATTGAAGATGAACAAAACAGGCACTACCAAAAACCTGAGGCGGAAGGGAAGAAGTGGGATAAGTCACAGGAAGAAGCTCAAGAGGAATTTGGAAGTGGAGGACACTAGAGGGCATACAGTTAATAAGGTAAGCCGCAGTAAGAACAGTATCCCCCCCCAAAAGACTTAGGAATGTTCATGGTAAACAAGAGAGAGCAAGCAACCTCAAGGATGGAGCCTACCATTAGTTTGACTTTTCTCTTGATGGATACTGCTCACAAGATCTGAATAGCTACCTCTCAGATGTATTCTCAATAGGGGAATGATGCACAGGCCTATGAATTGCATAAAAAGATTAGGGGTTTGGATCAGAAGGATCGCTCTCTGGCAGTCTACTATGCTGAGTTGAGTGGTTTATGGCAGGAGCTAGATTTCTACCAGAGTTTCTAGCCAGTTTGCTCCATGGATGCCACTATGTTTTAGCAGGCTATGGAGAAGGAGCGGGTGTATGACTTTCTTGCTGGCCTGAATTTGGAGTATGATCAAATACGGGTTCAGGTGTTGGGTCGCTCTTCGTTTCCTACATTGCGTGAGGCTTTTGACGAAAAATCAAAAAAATTGGAAAAAACAATCAAGAATGACCAAAACATCAAAAAGAGATTACAGGGTGAATACTCATTAAATTTCGAGCATGCTAATATTTTTTTTTTTGCTGCTGCTATAGACGTACCTAAAGAATGAGAGGAATCATCTTCAAGGAGGAAGATATTGCTCTGATACCATGTTGAATGTATAGATGATGATGAGAAGAAGAAGAAGAAGAAGAACAACAACAACAACAACAACGAGAGAGAGAGAGAGAGAGCTGCTGTATATTACTTAATTAAAAAAACATAGGGTTTCCCCCTTACACACAACTATTTAGTACATAAAGACCAAACTACCCCTAACACTTAACAAATTTCATAGTCAACATCGATCTTATTTGATAGATCTTGATGAGAGAATTCTAAAAATATTAATTTTATTAAAAACTAACATCTACATCAAAAATTATGTTATTTTAAAGTTTAATATTTTGATAATAGTAATATTTGTTGGACTTTTCAAGGAAAACTTTTTGTGCTTGTCCTTAATGCATTAAAATTTTATTATGAGGGGGTTTTGACCAAATCCCCCTAATTAATTGGAGATTTCACTTTTTTGAAGTGAGTAATTAGCAATCTGAAATCCAAATCAGAAATAAGAACCTATTATTAAATAATCTAACTATTTAGTCTAACAACTAAATGGTGAATATTTGTGACATGAGTTTCGAAATATGTTGAAACTTTTTACTTTCCAAAAATTATGTCTACATAAGGTCTATTATTTCACAAGATTTTTTTTACAATTTTTATATATATATTTTTTTCTTGATTGTCTTCAGCTTTCATGTTTAAATAAAAAATTAGATAAATATCATGACATCATTTAGTTGCCTTGAATTTTAATGTGTGAATAGTTTTAAAACTTTATATCAATTTATAGAGGCATGCAAAATATTCAATTCATTATTGATAGAAAATATCAAATCTATGTTTAAATAATCAAATTATTGAATTGGATATTACTTTATAAGATTTAAAGAATTGTAATGCTTTTTTTATTTACTAATTAGGTTTGAACCTCAGTATGTGCTTTATAATTAAACCCCAGGTTAGCACTAAAGTCTAAGGCACCATTTTGTTTTGTGTAGTATTTGAAACAATAATGATTCATCCCCCTAATTTTGCTCCCCCCTAATTCCACCTCTAATGATGTGGAATTAGGGAAGTTACAGATGAGAGGGAGAGAAGTGTAGGACCACTTCACATGGGAGTGGGCCACATCATTAGAGGTGGCATTAGGGGGACAAAATTAGGGGGATGTAGCACCACTTTATTTGAAATACGTATAACTTTTGTGATGTATGAAAAATATGATGATGCTTATTATATGTACTAAATAATATGTTATGAAGTTGTGGAGGGTGAAAGATAGAGGGATGCACTTTTATTGTATGGAGAAAAAATTATAGTGAGATGAAGGATTATGAGGGAATTGTGATTGGGGTGGGGAGGACCACAACATGACAAATAATTGATCAAGGGCCATGGTAAAATAACTTGAAGTTTCTTTCTTGCGCCCTCCCACTGCACCTTCCCTGGTTATTTGCGAGTGTATTTGTTTACTTTTGCTTCCTGGTATTTCTACAATAATGTTCAGCAAGATTATGTTATGCATATTGGTGGTTGATGCACTTTTGTAGTTTCCTCATTATGCCAATAAATGTTTCCATGCAGAAGGACCAGTCGACGGGACATTTTCCTGGAAAAGAAGAGATGGAGCTATCTCTGCAAAAACTGGAGAAAGATTTGAAGGAAACATGCCAACAAAGGGACAAAGCATTGCAAGAACTGAACCGGCTTAAGCAGCATTTATTGGATAAGGTTGCTGATTACAACTTTTCTGTTGTGAGAATGTTCTGCTGGTTTGTGCTGAGAGCATGATCTTCTTTGTACTTTTGCCATAGGGGGGTTACATGACCTATGTATATGTGGAGAGTTTGCAAATACTCCCAATAATAGATTTAACAAAGAACCTAACCAGGAATAAGCAATGATCATGATTTAGCAATAATTCAAATTTTTTTTTGAAGTGTTTAGGCATAAATATATATTTTTCCTAATTATGTATTTTTTAAATCATGATATCTATAGCTTGCTTATAATAAAATGATTTATATAACCCCCTGTTTCACGATTTGAACCTGTCATTAGTTTTGGGCCTTTTTTTCTGGCATGCGTGTTTGAATTTGGGTCTCTCTTGGACTGGATGATGAATTCTGTGTGTTCTTGTTCCTTCCATCAGTATTGCTTTCTGTTTCATGTTGTGGATTCTTCTCTGTTTTTTTTTTGAAAAGCGATGAAGCTTTCTAGGTGGATCCTGGATTCTGTACATCACAAGTAAAATTACTGTCCGAAAATTTCTGCAGTCAAAATTGAAGATGGTTTGTCTTGCTGCAATATTTTCTAGGAATCTGAGGAGTCAGAAAAGATGGATGAGGACAGCAAGATTATTGAAGAACTACGAGAAAAGAATGAGTTTCTGAAACTCCAAAATTTAAATTTGGAGAAGGCTCAGAAGCATGCAATTGCAAGTCAAGAGGAAGTTAAGATGACCAACAACAATGAACTTCAAAAGTACGAGGAGATCATTGATGACCTAAAAAGAAAACTGACAAGTTGTATGAGCACTATAGATGCCAAAAATGTTGAACTTCTAAATCTTCAAACTGCTTTGGGCCAGTACTATGCAGAAATTGAAGCTAAGGTATATATTGTCTCTTCTTGTTTAGTTGTGTAAACACAATGGGCAGGCTAGAGCCATCCAATCTTCAAATTGTTTTTTTTGTGTTATTTTCACATATATTGTCAGGAACATTTGGAAGGAGATATGGCAAGGGCAAGAGAAGAATTAGCTAAACTTTCAGAGGTTTTAAAGGTTTAGTACTTCTCATTTCATTCATTGTTATCATTTCATTTTCGGAACTATTGCATTTGTTTTAGAATTCTAACTGTTAAGATTGAAATGTATTATTGATGTTGTGTATATTTTGTATATTACAAGCTATTATATAGGAGAGGATTTGGGAGTAGGTGAGGTAAGTGAGTGGTGGTAGTGGATGGTAGTGGAGGTGGTGGGTGGTAGTGGAGATGGTAGGTGGAGTTGGTGGTGTGGTAATTTACACAATTTACAATTTACATTTTGTTTTAGAATTCTAACAAATTTTCTTTGTTTTTTTGGTCATTCGTTATGGTGCTATATTAATCGACATGACGCACATTTGTACTGTTAAATGGCACTCAACATTTTTAGCCAATATATTTAATAGGCTTCTTATCTATTTGTTAATGAATCTTTTATCTGAGTTAAATCTAAAATCTTCTTGAAACTTGAGCATTATTTGCTATACTGTGATTTGCATAGCCAATCTTCCTCTCTACTAGTTTTTTGGGTATGAAATTGTCTCTTCTTCCACCAGGATGCACATCAACAGGCAGGGATATTAAAGAGTGAGAAGGAGGATTCGTTGAAAAAGCTTTCACAAGCTGAAAGGATACTAGCAGAAGGAAGAAACAGAGTAAATAAGCTTGAGGAAGACAATGCAAAACTACGTCGAGCTTGTGAACAGAGCATGTCAAGAATTAACAGGATGTCAATGGACTCCGACTATTTTGTCGACAGGTGTGCCTCTATAAATTTCAGATTTGTTATTATTATGATATTAGGTTTTTAATCCATTTTGATTAGCTTCTGGCTAGTACAATTCAATATGAAGATAGATTGTTGTGCAAGTTCACATGCTTGCACTCGTACGGAAGCCCCAATTTCAACTATTGGGTTTGCCACATCTAATTCCTTGTTTCTATTTTGATGTGAGTAAAGCATGTTACACAAATTCAATATGGGTTCAGTTTTTGGGTTTGAAAATTGATGGCCCTTCAGTTAATGTCAGGACTAATTTCTTCTATGAATGTAGACAATTGCATCAAACTTTTATGAACTTATTAAGAACAATATAATATAGTAAAGAATCAAATTTCATTGCTGATTTTCTTTTTCTGAGTGGTATTTATCAGAATGATTTGTTTTCTGTCAAATGTCACCCCCAGAGAGAGAGAGAGAGAGGCATTCAAGCTTTGAATGTGATGCTAGTTGTTGAGATTATTCAAATTGTTGATTTTATGAGTCAACGAAGATGGATTAAACTTCTCTCCTAAGGATGCATAGGATAGAACCATCACCCCTACCACCTTTGAAATCACTTCCATGGCTGCAGTTGTAACCTGCAGCCATAATTTCTTTTGCCATCGTCTAAATTTCATCATTTCCATTTTTAAATGTTATATCCAAGATTTTTCTTTTGTTTTCATCTTAGTTCGATGTCAGATACAAAACTTAATTGAATTTCAATTTATATATGTTTCTGCATTCATTATCTGTCATGTTCCGTTGAGATAATGGAAATTGCAAGTTAGTATTGACAGATGACTGGCATTTTGGGCAGGCGAATAGTAATCAAATTGTTGGTAACCTACTTCCAGAGAAACCACAGCAAAGAGGTATAATTTGATAACACAATATTTCTGATTTCTCAATTATATATATGAAGAGGTTCTCTCTTCAAAATCGATAAAGCACTACTCTTCAAATTTTCCATTAGTATTACGTGCACAGAAGATGCATGGAAGACCACTATTTTCGTAGCCACTACTTCCTCTTATCCGGGTTAAAATCACTACCCTCTTCAAAATTTTCCATTTGACTTGTTATGCACTGATTAACTTATGAGGGTGCCACTAGGTTTTGGATCTTATGGTTCGCATGCTAGGATTCTCTGATGAAGATAAGCAGAGGATAGGTGTTGCTCAGCAAGGTGCAGGTAAAGGCGTTGTTCGCGGTGTTTTAGGTATACCAGGTCGGCTAGTTGGTGGCCTTTGGAGTGGTGGTTCGGCTGAATCTAATGCAAATATGGCATCTGAAAACCAGGTATTGCTTCTTCTTTATTTATTGTATACCCTATAACATAAATTTGCATCTGTTCTGGAGTCAGTTTACTTTGGTTTCTGTTCCTGAAGGGTGATTTACCATATGCTTAGTATTTCTTTTGATTGATAAGCTGACTCAATATATCCTACAACCAGTACCGAACTTTGATAAAATTATTCATAAGTCCCCATCACGTGGTCGCAGCCTTTTTTGGAATCAACAGTCAATGGTTAGGCTTGGAGATTTTCCTCTCTTTCATTGTTTGTAGTTATGCACCACAAAGTTAGATCCTAGAATTCTCTGAATTTGGAGATTTCCGAGTTGCCGATGACAAGTCTGTTTTGCTGTCGATTTTCCGACAGTTTTGCTACAGACATGGGTCCCACACACCCTTTGTGTCTCTTCTGTGACTATTTTGTGGTTAACTTCCATTTCTCTAGACTTTCTAATATTTTTATGATCATCATCATTATCATTGAATGATCCTCATTGCCACCTGTGTATTTCGACCTTTCTGGCTTCTGTTGGATATTCATGGAGTTTTATTTTATTTTATTTTATTTTTTTTATTAAAAAAAAAACCAAATGTGGGTCTTTTCAATACTTATTTACCAACCCCGCATCCTTTTGAAAATAATTCCCAAACCCTCATTTTTTTTTTTTTTGAAACATTTCAAGCTTGAAGAAGCAACTTTGGGAAATAAGTTTGAAACAACCTGCATTTGGTAATTAAAACAAGAAAACACTTGAGATTGGTAACTAACGCTGCATTCATGTTACTGTCCTTTCCAGTCCTTTGCAGACCTTTGGGTTGATTTCCTTCTGAAAGAAACCGAAGAACGAGAGAAGAGGGAATCTGCAGAAGCCATCAATGCCTCCAATGGTGATGCAAGAACGAATGCTACTGGTGCTGCCTTTTCTTTCTCTAGATTAAGCCCCTCCCCGAACCAGAACAGCCCGCTGTTGTCTCAGGGAAACATACAGCAGTCGGACCATTCAGATTCTGAGTTCTCAACAGTTCCTCTAACTTCGTCAGAGCACAGTTTTCAGGTTTCAAAATTGCTTCCAAGATATTGAAACTAATGTTGGATTGTTTTATTAATGAAAAGGTATAATTATTTTTTTTTTTGTTGCTGTTATAGTCTAGTGCAATACTTTCCATTTATTTTTTTATCCATTTATTATTAAATGGGTCGGCTTGCAAATTGCAATGCAAGTTATTGTTACTTCAATAGTTGCCCATATATATATATATACTAGTGTATACCCGTGCCTAAAGGCACGGTGTAAATAATTTTAAGATTAAAATGTAAATATAATTTATACGTATTATGTTGAAATTTATAAAGTTTGTTATTTTTGATAAAGATATTGAAAAAATATATTGAAATATTTTTCTTCTTAAAGAACTTATAACAATTTTGCTTGTATTACACACTCTACAAAACCCTTCGCAGACCTTTGGGTTGATTTCCCTCTCAAAGAAACCGAAGAACGAGAGAAGAGGGAATCTGCAGAAGCCATCAACGCCTCCAATGGTGATGCAAGAACGAATGCTATTGGTGCTGCCTTTTCTTTCTCTCAATTAAGCCCCTCCCTGAACCAGAACAGCCCGCCGTTGTCTCAGGGAAACATACAGCAGTCGGACCATTCAGATTCTGAGTTCTCAACAGTTCCTCTAACTTTGTCAGAGCACAGTTTTCAGGTTTCAAAATTGCTTCCAAGATATTGAAACTAATGTTGGATTGTTTTATTAATGAAAAGGTATAATTATTTTTTTTTTGTTGCTGTTATAGTCTAGTGCAATACTTTCCATTTATTTTTTTATCCATTTATTATTAAATGGGTCAGCTTGCAAATTGCAATGCAAGTTATTGTTACTTCAATAGTTGCCCATATATATATATATTCATATTCTGTGTTCTAAAAAAATTCTATTCCAAAATATATTCACAACCGTTGAATTTTGTGAAAATTTTGAAGTATAAAAATCGCGAGACAAGATTCATCATGTATGAATGTTTTGGAACAGAAGAATTTGGGATAAAGAATTTCAGGCCCAAGTTTTGTATAAATTTCACAAATTTAAAGAACTTAAAAGATATTTTAATTGAAGAAAAAAGTTATAAAAAATCAATATCATAATACATTAATTTTAGAGTGCTGCTATTAGCACTTGTCAAAATTCTTTGGACCCTTTATTTTATAATTTTTCTTTATTACAATTATACCCTAAAGTAAAATTACATTAAAAGACATTATTAAGTGGAACACTCACCTATCAATAAGAACTAATACTCTATAATATTGGACCCCCACTCCCGCTTCCAACTCTAACTATACGTATTCTATGTTTGTAAACCCTAAACCTATTACTTTTCATAACCAACTAACATAAACCCTAGGGGTGTGTTTGATTGGACGGACTAGATAAGGGGGATTAGAATCCATCAGACTTGAGTCCTGAGACTGTGAATCCCCCGGACTATTTGGTTGGATTTGATATGTATCATGTGTTTGTTTTTCATGGGATTAGATGTCTGGAAAGGACTACTTTTAGTGAATCCAACGTTTGGTTGGACGGACTAGATATGATAAATGAACAAAAGACTATTTCACCATTTTTCAATTATGTACTAAGTAATAGCAATATTAAACATATCTTTAATATTTTAATTATTTTTAGGTAGATTAAACAAAAAATTATTTTATTTTATTTTTTACACAATTAAATAATTTTATTTTTTTAAATTAAATAAATAAAATATCAATAAAAATATATGTTATTTTTTTAATTAAAATTTGAAATAAATTTGTTTTTAAAAATAATAATAATTAAACAATGAAATTAAATAAAGCATCTATTAACATTTAAATAATGAAATTAAATAAAATATAAACAAAATTTTAAAATAAAATAAATAAAACATCAATAAAAGTTAAATAAATTATTTTATTTTTAAATTGAGACATTTAAATTTTATTAAATTTTACTAAATATAATAATAATTAAATAGTAGAGGGTCAAAATGGTCATTTCATCACTTAATCCCAACAGTAAATAATCCCTCCCAAATTGTCTCACACCCCTCCCCCCGGATAGTATAATCCCCCATGTGGGGGATAAGGAGTCCGGCCGAACTCCATGTCCACCGAACTAAAAAAAAAACAAACATCGAATTGGATGATTGCCCTGGATTACAATCCGCACAGTAAATAATCCCCCCCTTATTCCCCCAATCAAACACACCCTAAACCTATTATTTTTCATAATCATTTTAAATCTTGAATGTGTCATCTTCATTACCATCATCAACGCTATTGAACTTTAAAGTTTTGCTTCAAGTATAACGTATACTTCATCATCTTATAAGTTTATCTGTCTTGCATTAACATTCTCGGTCGTTTTCGATCGTTCTTGTTTCGTTCGAACTGTTCGGTACTGGTTTGTTGACTGTTAGAATTATGTTCGGTAATGCAGTACTGAACATAATCCTTTCATTCAATACATAGGTTCCGAACATTAATACAGATAGTCAGTTATGTAATTTTCTTTGTTAAACTAACTTAGAATGGAAAATAGTGAATTGGAATAGATTTAAGTTATGTATTTTGAATGGATTTAATTCATGTTATTTTAAGTTGTGAATTGGAATGGATTCAAGTTACACAGTGATGAACAAATTTTGTTCGAACATGCAATGCTGACAGGATCATTATTGTTCGACAAAACAGTTCTGAACAAAATACATTTTTTCTGCTACACAGTAGTGAACAAATTGTTTTGGGTTACATTCAGAATTCTGATGGCGATTCAGATGATGATTCTGTTTTTCCTCATCTTGCAAACAGTTATACAAATCCCATAGAAATTGGAGTATCTTTGATAGATCTAAGCAATGACGAAGATACAAAAAGCAACGAAGAAGATGATGATGAGAGGATGAGAGAGGTTACTGATTCGGCGACATGGAGAGCGTTCAGAGAAGATGAGAGTCGTCAGAATGCTCCGTTGACGGCCGAAACGACGACGAGAGTGATGGAGGGTTGGGGTCCAAGAATTCTATACTAGACCAAAGCTCCAAACTCTGAAGATTGAGTGAGTTAGAGAAGGAGAGGGATGAAAAATTAGGTGGGTGTGCATTTCATAGGTAAAAAAAAAAAAAAAAAAAAAGGAAAAAAAAAAAAAAAAAAAAGAACATTTTCCAAAACTGGAAATTAGGGGTATTAGGGCCAATTTTTTTAGGGCCACCAATCATTTTCCATAGTTGTTTTATGTACTGGTTACTTTGGTTGCATTAATATATTGGAGCTAGTGGAAAGAATGTTTATCTATTTTGCGCTGCATTGAGCCCCTAAACCATTTTTATCTTAATTATTAATACTTCTTCTTGTTTGTTTAATATCTTACATTAAAAAAATATACTTCCGTCTTATTATGAGAACGTCAAATTCAATTCACGTATTTTTTTAAGATATAACGATCTAAATTTTACTGATACAATATTATAATTATGGGCATGGCTTCTATCCAGTCCTTAATCGGATTGGACCGTACTGTTAGGTTCGTAGGGGCCCACCACGGGTCCCGTTTTGATAATATGAATCGTTCAATATGTAGAACTCATCGAGTACTATATGTCTGTAAAAAATCACGTTAATCGGATATCGATAGTTATGTGATCAAATCAGTTTTGTATAAAAAAAATAGATGGTGAATAAATTAACGGTTGACAAAAATCTATTTTGATCACATAGCTATCGATATCCGATCAACATGATTTTTTACAGGCATATAGAGTACTCGATGAGTTCTACACATTAACGGTTCATATTATCAAAACGAGACCCATGGTAGGCCTCTACGGGCCCAACAGTACTGTCCAGTCCGATTAAGGACCGGCCAGAAGCCATTTCCTATAATTATAAGCTTAATGAATTAACATAGTATATCTACTCTCTTTTTTATATTAGGGTAAATTTTAAATGCATCCCTGAGTTTTGCTTAAAATACGAATTGTCCCTTATGGTTTGAAAAATTACAAATATATCTCTGTCAGAATTTTTTATTTAACATAATTAATTGAAGAAATGAAATTTCTAACTGTTCACCTATATAATAATACAATTAGCTGAATTATTAATTGAAATAAAATTTTAACATTATTAAAAACTGTTAATTAACTTTATGATTTATTAATAAAAAGACGTATTTGTTATAAATTATAAACCTTAGGGGACACAATGTAATTTCTAAAACTATAAGGAGTAATTTGTAATTTAAGTAAATCTCAGGAGGTGTGTTTATAATTTACTCTTTATATTATACATAATAGGGGTGTTTTGGGAAGATTGTTAAGAGTTAATTTTTTTACTTTTTTGGTTTTTTAATGTGAAAAATAATGTGATTCAAAATTAGTTAAAAGTTGACTTTTGACTTTTTTAAGAAGATTGCCAAATGGCTCCAATATATGTATATGTATACAAAATCTTTTGTAAAATGAATTCCATAAGAATGGTATTTATATAAATACTTGTGGTCATTCTGTAGACCCATGACTCTTTAGGATTTGTCTCAAAAAATTACCTAAAAGCCCATGTTGTTTTGCAACGGTGCATGCATATTTGTCACAAATAATTCTTTTTTAGCAACCATGTTTATCCATTGCAAATAATAAGAATAAATTTTCCTTTTTGGTGATTGCAAGTATCATCACCACCATCACTAGTAACCACTAATGTGTTAACTAAAGTAAAATATATTTATTTTTAAAAATGAAAGTAGGAACAAAAATTAATATCTTAGTTTTTTTATCCATCCAAATCAAAGTATGAGAGTCTTGGAAACTCCTAAGCTCTAGAGAAACATATAAACGTGAGATTATAAATCTTTGAATCTTCAAATCCCCTCTCTGTTTATCATATGCTTATATCTGCCATAGCCCTCAATTTCTCTTGATTTGGACTGTGCCAGCAGTGAAATTATTGAAATTTCAGATGAGTTGAAAAATCATATTAAAAATGAATTCGATAACAATGTGGACTTCTCGTCCCAAAACAAAACGAATGACAGACCTAAGCGGCTAGAAAATTAGCTCGCGGACTTTATGTGTTACCAATTTACTTTTATGAATAATGTTAGTGATTCATAATTTGAATTTTTGAATTTATTTATAATGATGTGATAAGAGAGATAAGTCTTATATAATACATGATAAATTAAAAATTAACATGTATCATGTCACATTATTATAGATGAAATTGTGAAAAAATTTATATAGATCTTAAACATTTTCTTTTCCAAAATTGTTTGTAGAATCATATTTTGACAATAAATAATAAACAATCAAATTATAGGTTAAATAAAAGAAATGTCATAATAGAAACACCATAGGGGTGATTTGGAAAGTTAATTAAAAATTGATTTTTTGACTTTTTAAATTTTTTTAACTTTTTTATGAAAGAGGTAATGTAACTTAAAATGAGTTAAAAGCTGACTTTTAACTTTTTTAACTTGTTTTTAAATGGCCCCATAGTCATCAAAAAGCAAAAAGCACAACTAACTGAAACCATAGCAATTAGAACGGATGGGCTCGATTTGGCCCATAAAAATCATACTCAAAGGTCATTTGTTTCATAAGATTGAGGTGTGGGCTGGACTTTATGTTTAATAAATTTAGTAATCTATCGTTTGATTAGTTTAGTAGAGATTGGATTGATAGTCCAATAAATATCATTTCTAGATAAATAATTCAAAAACTATTTATTTAGAATTTCATTATATTATAACCGGCCTTTATCCAGTACGTCCAAATTTGGGTGAGCTGGCCTTGGATGTAGCCATGGGCCCAAAAGCCCAATGCGCTGGCAAGCAGGCTAA